AACACATCCTGATGGAAGGTGAATTTAAACATGATATGAGGTGGGGTAAACGACAAAGCACATAACATTACATGTCACTTGTTAGACGCTTTTATCCAAAGCGACTTACATACTCAATACTGTGGGCAATCCCCACAGGAGCAATTTGGGGTGAAGTGTCTCAGGGACACAACGACATGCTGACTGCAGTGGGGTTTGAACCTGTGACCCCTGATCCAAACACCAACGCACAACCCACTGCACCACACGCCTCCCACATGAAGATGATTTAAACAAGGGAAGAAAACTGTATATGAAACACAAGGGGTGTGTGTGTTTGTGTGTGTGTGTGTGTGTGTTTACCTGTGACCCCATTGCCAATGCTGTTGTCGTCTGGCTGAAGGATCTCTTCGTGTTTGTATGTGCCATTCATGATCCGCGCTGAGGAGCCCTCAACAACTCCGTTGGTATAGTGCTCTGCTTCAATCTCCATCTCGCTGTCACTTCACAAACACACACACACAGACACACACACAACAGGCACACAGACACACACACACACAGCAGACACACAAATACAGAGACACAAAAGATGGCACACAGAAGCGTTAAGAGGATGAAAGTTCATGAACAATAATATTTAAATTATATTTTATGGACCAAGATGCCTCATCAAAACATGTCTAAATGAAACACCTGTTAAGAAGTTTGCGGGGGGCGTAGTAATCAGCAGCTAACCGCTTCAACACGTGTATTTCGGTGTATTCACAGCATTCATTTTGTTATTCTACAGTATTGTTGTTTTATAGTTATTTGTTAATGTATATAACCAAATTTGTGTTCTTTGAAATTGAAAAGGATATCGCATTGTGTTACTTTCGTTGCAGTTGTATATGTCATTTGGCTTGGCTTCCTATTTGGTTTGGCTTTTATTTTGAAGGAGAGTTAGCGCAGTTGACAGGAACAGGAACGTTGATATTGGAGATTTCAATAAATTAAAAAATAAATAAAAACGAATATCCGAATAACGAAATTAAAACCCGAATAGTACTCCAACGAACGACTATTCGGATATTCAGGTACAGCCCTAGTTTGCAGCGTTTTGTTTATTCTACACTTTTCATTCGCTGCGCATGTCTCGTCAAGTCTTGAAGATCATTCTTTATTTGCATATGTATGTTTTTTGGTGTCATTTCTGAAGCGGCTGCGTGTTTCACCTAATGGAAGTGTTTGGGCTGTGGCAGTGCGTTTGCACCTTTCGGCCGCCGTACTACTTCCTAATACACCTGTGGCAGAGCCTTGACAAGGCATAAACAATGTTTATTGGCTTAATGTATGTTCGATTACACTAACCATGATAACGGGAACCTTACGGTAAAGGTGTCAATTCAAATAAATAAAGCCCACAAGAAGCCTTTACAATGGATCATTTCATGTATGAAATCTGGTAGACAAACTGATTGAAATAAACAATTATTGAGATTAGTATATATAATGAAACAGGGCCATCTCACAGCTGTGGCTACTTTTCCCCATCAGTTTGGAAAGCCCTGAGTGCAGTGTCATAGATGGTGCCAATGTTCCTGAGTGCCAACGTTTGTATTAGCTTGCAGTGATTACATATTAATGTCTTAAAATGAGTGCGGTAATGATTTATTGATGATAAACTATCCTGTAACCTACATCTGTATTTATTTGTAAGCATAAACTGAGTAATGATGCCATCAGTAATGCTCTAAATGCTTCCTACCTGGTTTCCTGGGTGCTGTTGGCGCTGTGCGGCTGGCTCTTGGTGGAGTCGGAGGAGTTGGACTCAGAGTAGTTGACGGAGGAAGGGGAGGAGGAGGAGGAGGAAGAGGAGGTGGAGGAGGACAAGCTGGGGTATTTGACACTGCTGTTGCCGGTGCCACTGTGGCTCTTTGACTTGTTGGGGGGGGGTCACTCCATTACTGCAGGTTGGGCTGTCTGATCCTGTGTGTTGTAGGGAACAGTCAAATGAAGACATATATCTAATTTCCTTCAGCTACTGGGATTTGGGACTGGCATTTCCATCTATCTAACGCTTATGTGACCGAGATCATATTTCAAGTGTACTATGTATTAATTTATTGAGCTGTACTTAAATCAGGTTTTAAAATGGTTTGACTGATAGAGATCATGCAATGTTATTATTTGTTTATTGATTGTTATGAACCTGCCTGAGGACCACAGATGGAAATTAGCTATTAACTATAATCTGGCATATTGCATCTCTTCTCTTTGCTGAGATTAATGTTTTTGTATGCATGGTCCTTCTATAAATAAATACAAATAACAAATGTGCAATATAATACTATTGATCAATAGTATTACTGGCTGCTACACTTTAGTGAAATAATACTGTGCAAGATCTCCTTTTTTATAATTAAAAAGCAACTTACTTTTATACAGTTGCTACTTATCTTTTGTACCCTGCATGTGTACTTCTTCGATTGGAATTATCTTTCTAAGATATTATGTATATTATTTGTATGTATTTTATTATAATTTAATTTAAAGATGGGTTTGTTTCTACTTTCTTTATTATTTTCATTACATGCATAGACAAAAAACTGCTATCGAAATGTAAGAAATAATAAGGCATGTTTTTGTTGTTGTCAAAAAAGAAACCCGCCTTAAAGAATGAGTTTGTTTTTGTACAAAATGACATGTATGGTCAAACCTAGTCAATAAAAGCCTTTCTTATCTATTTATCTAAAAAGTTATCTACTCTTCTTATTTTGTCTTTATATCTAAATGTAAAGTTTCTATGCGTTGCTCTTCAAAGAGGACAGAGGTTAAGAATAAAAAGTGTGTGTACCTCCGGTGTTTAGGTGTGTGTTGCTGGCTCCGTGGTGGGGGCTGAGGCTGGGGGAGCCGGGGTAACTGTCCTGGGACTTTGGGGAGCGGATGGGCAAGCAGCGGACCTCGCCGTCTGTACCGTTCACCATCTCCACAAACTGGCGACACCTAAAAAGGAAGGTGGACCGGTGTTATTGTATTTACTGGGAATGTTTCTATATCAACAGTGTTTAACAGAAATATACATCCACAGTAGCATAGAGTGGAGCAGGACGGAGTCTCAAAACCTGGAAGGGAGTTAGCATTTTATCATGCAATTTCCCTTGTCTGGAAGTCAAGTTGTTCTTTAGACACTTGAAAAAGATCCATGTTACCACCGGCTAAGAGATTTTTTTTTCTATGATATAAACAAGGGCCAATAAATACCCCACTCGTGAATGTCTTCAACTTCTATGTGTCATAAAAACAGCGGTTGCTAACAAGTGAATAATTGAGACGACTAAACGTCTCAGACTTTAGCCGCCTTTAGCTTAGAGGTGGTGATGCGCAGCCATGTGACCGTGGTGTGGTTTGTTTATGGTTGTAAAAGTAAGGTTTTTTACTTTTGTATTTAAGCTTCAAAAATCATAAAAGTGGTGTTAATATGTTCCTGCTGAACAAAATATGTAAGTATGATAATTGTCCGTTTACCATAGCTCTTATTTTATCCATTGCTTTCTGTCTACTGATCACTTGCGATGCTAACTTTGCGTGTTGGCCTACAAAAATACGTCATCACTGCACCACTCTATCGGTGAAGGTAGACAATCAGTGTTCACCTATACAGATTAGTCATGACGCAGCATCTTTGACCTACATTGGATGTTTATCTTTTAACAGCTCTGACTTACTTCAACATGAAGAGTAGGTTAGGGTTGTGTTCTAACAGGCCTGGATAAAGCTGCTGAGTAGCCTCTATGGCTTCGCCCACCCGTCCTGCCAGCACCAGCTTCTGTATTCCTATGAGACAAAAGAAACAGGGCTCTATTTACAGCATATTGATCAAGTGGAACCATGCTTTCACAGCAAACATGTTGAAAGAGGTCAGTGTGTCATTCATAGAAGTCATAAGTGGACAATCAATACACACAGTGTCTAATTCTGGACGTTGTTTGTTTCAAAATGATGAGTGACTTACCATTTTAGTCTACTCTTTGTAATGTTAGGTGCTGTAATAAATATTGTATGTGATCATTGCAACTAGTCGTATACAAATGTAAATATAAAATATGTGCGTATTTGGTTTGTTAACTCACTCTGTCTGTTCTTTATAGATGTCTGGTCCTCTTGTATCAGGGTCTCTGTGGCTCTGGCAAAGGCTGTTGCGGTGGCACAGTACCCATGATGCACCAGGTAACTAGACACCATACTGGAGGCAAGACAGGGAAAAATCATTTAAAGGTTGCCTTTTTTGAAAGGATAATTGTGATGATTCTTTGTTCATATGGTCAAGAAAATGGCACCAAAAGTCTGTGTTCTTCCTGAGGACACATCTCTAAGAACAGGTACAAATATGGTTTATTCATTAAAAATAAATGCACTTATTTCCAACAGCTGGGTACTGAAGTTTTTAACAAACCTTACTCAAACATCAGTAATGCATTTGTTGGTGCCTTTTTCCTCCAGTAGATTATTCCAAATGTGGTGGTCGAGTGAGAATTTGCATCATACAGAAAACTACAGTGCTCATCTTTATGTTAATAAAGGAACATTTCACCCAGTAAAACCGCAATGTGATTTGAATAGTGTTTGGAAAACAATTTAGCTCTACGGCACAGAGGAATAAGATTTAAGGCTTAAGTAAAGAAAAATGTTGTAATGTATTTTGTGTAAAATGAACCCTTTTCAGATGCAACAATGTTAACTTTTACTGCTTTTTATTGAAATAACAATTATTGCTTTCAAATGTATTACTGTAGCATCACCCAAAACAGTGTGTCCTTAATAAAACAAACACATTTTTCTTTAATGTTGATCAAAAATAATCAGCAATGCAGATTTTCTAAAATAAATATTTGAAACGTTAAATTCAAGTCTGATCCACATGTTTTGATGTTGGATTACAGACACAATTAATAACATAGATTTGTACTTCAAACGTAGCGGGAGTAGGAATAAAAGTCAAAAGAAGCCTGTATTTGTGGAGGTGTGTAATCTCACTTCTGCAGGACAGCCTGCCACTCCCCCAGCCTCTCTCCTATGGGGAAGCGAGCGATCATGCCATGGATCTTCGCCCGCCATTCACTCATGTAGTCCTCGATGTCGTAGACAAACGGCTGCTGGCCAAAGTTTGCGTCTACGATCTCACCCGGAGTTTGGAGCCCCACAGTGGGGTACAGGTTGGGCTAGGGGATATTAAAGATAAACAAAAATGCAGGTTATAAAGTTTAAAACTTACAATGTTGTAATTTCAAGGGAATGACCTTAAAGCACCACCTGGAGGCCAAAAAAAAGCCCTAAACTCACCGCCAACTAAATACAACTTCAAATCTGACTTATTTTTGGGGAGCCCATTGGAAATGAATGGGGCTGTGATGGATTAACAAGGGCTGCACATTTCTTTGCAGTGCTCCATAACGGCTACGGCACACCAAATATCTAGGTGAATGTACCAATGTCGAAGTGATAAAGCCGGATTTTTAAGCTGCCAAATCCGTGTTTTTCACCCTAAAATGTTAACCCTAACCCAGTCTATTAAATACTGGATAGCATACAAGTATAAAATTGTACACCAGACAAATAAAAGGATAAAGTTAGAGAACATGGAGACAGTTACAAACTGCATGCTAGTGATTAGTTCATGGTGGCAGCAGAGTTGTTTGTTTACCTACAACTCCAACTGGGATACTAAACAATACAGTAGGTCCACCGTCACCTTTTTATTGATTTTGGAAACATCCTGGTTTGTAAAATATACTTCATACCTATGTAAGTGTAAGCATTGATTGTGTTAAGCCTTAGGCCCCGGCCACACGAGGATGAAAACGGCTAAACGCATAGGATTAACGCAAACGCAATCGCAAAAAAGCTTCCGTCCACACGCAATATTCACCGGATAGTGTCTGTCCACACGAGACTGCTCCGTTTAGCTCCAACCGCTGGAGAAGCTGCAGTACATATGCAGGAGCCTGTACGTGGCGCTGTAACTTCCTCCACAAGAGCAGCGAAGAAGCATGGTTGTCATGGTTGCCCTTCTGTTTATTCTCCGCGGTGGGGGCCGGGCAGAGTTTTTTGCCAGTCAACGTGTATTAAAGTTTAAATCTTCCGACAAAATTATAAAAGTGCCGGTCAAAGGTCTTCTTTGTTATTTATTGAGCTTTAAAACAAATGAATAACGACTCTATATAATATAATTATACAAATACATGGAGCCTCTCTTTTTCCTCCCTCTCTTCGGACAGCGTCAGTGTCTGTTTCATGCAGCAGCTGATCCAGTAATAAGTGACCCGGCCGACAGTAAAAATAAACATATTTATAACTAGGTAGTTTGAGAGGTGTCTCCGTCCTGTCAGATTAGACTTCACTCGCGTTTATGTCCATATCGAGAGAAAGATAAATAATCTGAATTCAGTGTGCAGTTTACTTTGACACGGGGGTGAGCAGCAGAGGTGGGGAGGCGGGGCTATTGCCTCATCATTATCAGAAAATTATCGTATAGGGCGTACACACGGAGCCGTTGGACCCCCCCAGAGCGTTGCGTATGCCGTTCTATCCACCTTGGGACCCGTTATCGTTTCCGCAGTCGTTTAGTGCCGTATTCGGTCGTCCTCGTGTGGCCGAACGGTCTATATGACACTAAACAGTAACGCAAACGACCGTTTTCGTCCTCGTGTGGCCGGGGCCTTAGGTCACGGCTTGTTCCTGTAATGGAAAACTGTCATTGGGTAAACTGGCCAACAACGCTGTCTTTATATCAGGCTATCATTAGATCATAGGGTTCAGTTGGACTTTGTCTTTTTGGCATATCAAAAAACCACCAAATGATATGAACACCATCATCTGTTTGAATGCCGTTTAGTTCTGACAGTGGTTGCTAACTCCATCTGCTCTAGCAACATGTGGCCAGCAGCCAACTGTGATTTTGAGTTATTTTCTTAAAACCTATTTGGCTGGTAAAACAGTTCAAGTGGTTGTGGGTTGTTGTTTTTTTCAGAGGAATGTTCCAGTTAGTGCGGCCACTGGACAAAAAAAGGTTGTTTTCCAACCCAACTGCCAATATACAGCAGGCATACAAACCTGGCTGAAACTATAATTTTACAGTTTGTAAGTCACTACAGTAACAGGAATGGTCAAGGATCATATAGGTTTGGCATCATCATATAAGCGTAATGTGTTGAATGAAAATCAAAGACTGCATATTTTTCTAAAACATTTTCTCCAAAAATAAACAAAATAGAGTATCTTAATGGCTCCCAAGGCAAGGGTGGAGCTTACTGATATAATATGTCAATAAAAGTAAAGCAAAAGGGAGTTTGATAGTAAAAGAGAGCCCTAGTAGATTTAAGAAGGCATTTAAAAAATGATGCACATTTAGTGATACTTACAGGGAGGTCTGTGAAGGCTACACCTAAGGGACAAAAAGGACAAAAGGTTAAAGAATATTCAATGATTTCCAGCTATAAATGATGCGGTAAATAACAAACAATGCATTACTGTATCACACAATTGAAATCCAAGTTCACAAACCTAAACTGATGCCATTTTTGGTGTAAAAGCATGTGTTGTTGATGAGGTTAACGCAGCAGCCAATCACGTCGCCTGTGGTGAACGTCGGGCCGTACGGTGGCCGGTCCCGGAGGAGCCAAAAGGAGTGGCCGTCATCTCCGTGGTAACCGTATGAGTGCTTGTCCCATCCTAAAATAGGAAAAGGATTAGTTATGAAAAATGTTGGGAAACGAGGTTAAATGAGTCAGTGTCATACTGCAGTGCTCAGGTTCCTGAATACAACGGAGCATCTGAGGTGAAGTGAATTGCTCGAGGTCACTCTTACGTCGCGCTGAAGCAGGGGAGACAGTTAGTCATTGACTTCTGCTGCTCAGATTTTCCCATCAGACTACCACTGCCTGCAGGGCGTTTCATGAAAATGCACACAAACACACTTTCTGAGTCTTTGGCATGGCGTGCAGTGCTGAGGGCGGCCAGCAGGAGGATCTCTGCTATGTTGAGAAACTGGTGAGTCACTGACAATAGGAACAGCAGCTCCTTAATGTGTTATTTTTTTTTTTAGAAAACTTTATTTTATATTATTTGGGCAGTACATGATATACACAAGTTACATTAATAATACACATAAAACACAATTCATAAATATATAAATAACATAAAGAGAGCACGTTTATATTCCAATGAGACTCAGTTCGGTCACAGACTCAATGTTTTATCCCTGCTGGTAATGATGCATGTGTAGGTTAAGGTGTGTTACTTATGCAGCTGTAGAGTTTTTTCAGTATACCACTCAGTAAGCGCATTTGGAAACGCTTTATTTTACAAGTCTATATTTGCCTTATAACTTCCAATGAGATTTTTCTAGAATGTTCAAAAGGAAAACATGTCAATATACTTCTTTCACAACAGATGTTTTGACCAGTCCTTGAAAGAATACAAAAAACCGAATAAAAATGGGTCCATTTTTAAACTGCAACAATTATTATCAACTATTTTGTCAATGGTTAATTTACAAAGTAATTTTTCATGCAAAACTGTCAGAACATTTAGTTTACAACCCCTTAAATGTGTACATATCCTGCTTTCCTCTGTTTATCATCATTTAATAGTGAGTATTTGGGGGTTTTGGACTGACCAAACAAGACAGTAGAGAGAGCAGTATTCTCATCAAACCCTCAACAGGAAAGCAAATAAAATACATTTCCAAAAGTATAAAAACATTCCTTTCGTTAACTTATGATCCCTCAAAACAATGTGCACAGAAAAGCACATCATTTTCAACATATGGAGAATTAAGTTTCCACTTATAAATGAATGATGCAAAAATATGTACTTGGTTGCCTATAATTTCATTACACAATTATTTTGAGGAAACTGGCTTTAAAATGATAAATGGTAAATGTATTTATATAGCACTTTATCCAGTCTTTACAACTCGCTCAGAGCAGTTTTACATAAACAAGTCAGGGTTCATCCATTCACACACATTCATACAGAGGCAGGGGCTGCCAAGGAACCTACATTGACACATATTCACTCTGGCCATTTGGGGCCTCATAGGGTTAAGTGTCTTGTTGACTATAGGGACCCACAACCCACAACTTCACAAATTAAAGACAACCGCACTACCTCACAACCATTGAACCATTCATTTGAACAATGATCTGGAATTTCCCAATAGAAGCCATCAATCCCACCAAATCATTGTAAAAGATTACTGCTGAAGCTTAAATGTGAAAATGACGTGGGGTTCCCAATGGAGTGGTGCACAGATGAAGGCCCGATCCCAAACCACGCCCTACACCCTACCCCTACACACTACCCCTCCGTGACGGAGTGAGTGACACTCGCAGCTCAACGAGGCTCCCTCCTGTCAGATGGAGGGAGTAAATACAGCAGCAAGCTTTGGGACGGCCTCCCCTCTCTCCGGCAGAAACAGGAAATGCCGTAACTGTGTGTAACAACGGTTTCAAATCAGGATCTCTTAGACAAAAAGTTTAAATGAATAACTCAAATAAAACTCCAAACATCTTTCATTGTGTTTCAAAGCTCTTTTAGTTGTAAACCTGATGTTTATAAGCTTCTTAGTTTTTGCAACGGTCTGTAAATATACACAACTTTATAATAAAATGCACACATTTACCTTTTTCTAGAAAAACACAGGTATGATCCTAAATTAAAACAAAGTGAGGTTATCATGAGGTTGTTAACATCGCAGTTTATCAGTGGATGTTTGCTGGAACTACTTGTTAACAGCTTGTTTCCTGACGGACACACAGCGTGACTCCGGTCAGGTAGAGACCGGTCTCAAGTCAGCACCGCTGCAGACTCGCTGTTTGAGGGCTTAATAGCCCCCTCCACACTCGTTGGTTTGGAACAGCACTTAATATGGCGGACCCTCCGCGCGGATGCGCAAACGGAGGGGTAGTGTTTAGGGTGTAGGGGGCGGTTTGGGAATGGGCCAAAGTCTTTTTTGTAGGCCAAGTTAGCATGGCAACAGGGACGTTGACCAAAACCATTGGGATTTCGGGAATATTTCAGTAAAATAAATCTTTGCCATACATTAATAAGTATGGTTATGTAAAAAGAGCTAAGGTTAGGCTATAAATGAACTACATCACGCTACATGGCGCTGCATCAACACCGCTAAGCTAAAGGTGGCTAATGTTATCTTGTTTGCAATATGACATTTAGTAGTCTCTATTAGTAATTTGTTAGCAACGGCCATTTTTATTTCCAATAGAAGCTTCGGACATTCACCAGTGGGGTATTTACTGACATATAAAATGTAATAGAACAAAACATAAACATGTATTAAGCTTGTGTTAACCACAGATCTTATTTCAGACATCCACCCAAGAAAACATTTTAAAACATTGACTCAAGAAGACGGAACCGGAAGTGGTAACATGCTAATTCATTTCAGTGTTGTAGGACTGGTTCCTACACTAGTCTTTTCCTTCAAAGATGAGTAGGCTCTCAAATGTATGTTCTCAGTTTGAATGTTATATTGATGTGATTTCACCATATTCATTCAACCTTGGAAGATATTAAGAAGTGCAAGTAACTACAACATGAACAAGTAGTATAGCCACTCTGTAGTCTGACCTCGAAAAACCTTAATGTATAGTCCTATATATACAGTACACACTCTGCACTCTAAGCGGCTCTAAAGCGATCTCTACAGGGTGACGTGTGTCCAGCATTTAAAAAAAAATACTGACATTAGAATGTTCCTCCTGTCTGCTTCCCAAAGCTGAAATACAACCACAAAATGAACATGTATAAGAGGAACAGAAGATACTCTCTGTCTTTCTTTGAATGTCTAACCTCTTTAGATCTAATACACATCGGTCCTGTGAATCTAAACCAGCACCCTAATGCCAAGTCAAACACACAGAATGGATCTACAAAGACAATATCGGTTTCAGTACGACAAAGAACTGACAAGGCAGGATCATCTTCGGCAACTACATTTGGGAACATCAGAAATTCACTTTCAGTCATTTAGATGACCAGCTTATTACGCCTCTAGTTTAACACTAGTCCAGTATTGGTGGAGTTGTCTTCCAGAATGAGACCTGACCCACCGGAGCTCTGCTTCAGCTCATTGCTCTGACAGTGTCGCTCCTCAATCACAGCTTGTGTGTCGTTGCCAAAAAGCAAAGCGGGGTTAGTGAAAGTAGGTCGTGGGTGAGATACCAGATGCGTACTTGTATACGTGAGCATGTAATAAAGTATTAACCTAAGCCAAATGTGTGAAATTTGTATGCGCCGTGTGCACTGGTGTGTTTCTTTTAACTTGAGTGCATACTGGGCCAGCTCTCTGTGTGTGTGTGTGTGTGTGTGTGTGTGTGTGTGTGTGTGTGTGTGTGTGTGTGTGTGTGTGTGTGTGTGTGTATGTGTGTGTGTGTGTGTGTGTGTGTGTGTGTATGTGTGTGCGTGCGGTGAGGTATTAGATTAATCTGCTGACAGGGATATTGCCTCTAAAGCCAGGCTCACTGCTCCAACATGCTAATGAAATGGGCAGGCCTCCACAGCAGGATCAGACACAGAGGTCAGCAGTGGAGAACATTGTACTATATATAAAAGGGGACACACACAAACATATATATATAATATATATAAAACACAAACTACCACAAGAGTACACCAAAACATATGTGCAGATGGACAGAAAAGTGTGCACAAACAGACAAGTGGCGACAAACACAAACAAGTACACTCGAGAGACGCAATCCAGGACACACACAGATAAGTCCACAGAGTTTGGGACAACACTGGTGGCACACACACACTTTGAGTCGCTAAGGCAATCAACAGTAATCTGTCGGCCAGGGCCATCAAGCATCTGTAGAGGAAACCTAGCAACCAGAAATATTTTCATAACTAACGTGTGAACATGTTTGGAAAACATGTGCATCCATCGCAACGCCGTTCCACCCTTTGTGTGACTTGTGACACTTGTGAATCAAGAAGAGAGGAGAATGAGGGATGTGTGTGTGTGTGTGTGTGTGTGTGTGTGTGTGTGTGTGTGTGTGTGTGTGTGGCCTGGCATTACTATACTTGTGGGGACCTAAATCTGTTCACACAGTCACGTGTGGGGACTCGCCTCCCTTATGGGGACAAATTGGAGATCCCCATGAGGGGAATCATTCATTTTAGGGTGAAGACCTGGTTAGGTTTAGGGGTAAGGTTAAGGGTTAGGGTTAGGCATGTGTTGGTTATGGTTAAGGTTAGGATAAGTCTCCAGGAAATGCATGCAAGTCAATGTAATCAGGCATATCTTGCCTCAAAACGATGCAGAGAAACTAGTCCATGCATTTGTTACTTCAAGGCTGGATTATTGTAACTCTTTATTATCAGGGTGTACCAAGAAGTCAGTCAAGTCGCTTCAGCTGATTCAAAATGCTGCGGCTCGTGTACTAACCAGAGTTAGGAAAAGGGACCACATTACTCCTGTTCTGGCTGCCTTACACTGGCTCCCTATAGAACACAGGATAGAATTTAAAATTCTTCTTCTCGCCTACAAAGCCCTTAATGGGCAGGCGCCATCTTACCTTAAAGAACTCATTATACCCTACTGTCCTACTAGGGCATTGCGTTCCAAGAATGCAGGGTTGTTGGTTGTTCCTAGAGTCTCTAAAAGTACAATGGGAGCCAGAGCCTTTTCTTATCAAGCTCCACATTTGTGGAATCAGCTTCCAGTTTGTGTTCGGGGCGGCAGACACCCTATCCGTTTTTAAGAGTGCGCTTAAGACCTTCCTTTTTGATAAAGCTTATAGTTAGGGCTGATTAGATCCAGCCCCTAGTTTTGCTGATATAGGCTTAGTTTGTCGGGGGACATCTTACTTCTTCCTTCTCTCTGTCTATACCTGTGTACTCTCATGTTCCGATTAACCCAGCTTCCCCAAATGTCTTTCTTTTTGGTGTCTATATACGCCGGGATCCGGAGTCATGGATGATCCTGCGCTCCTCTGTCCTGGATCGCGAGCCCTGGATCTTGAGTCGTGGCTGTGGTCCTGGATCATAGGCCCTGGATGGATATCCTCGTGGATTCATCTTCCTATTATACACACATGCATTTCCAAACATTTGGACTACCTATGTTGCAAATGTATTATCTTTTCAATTTACACACGGCATCTATTGCACGTCTGTCCGTCCTGGGAGAGGGATCCCTCCTCTGTTGCTCTCCCTGAGGTTTCTCCCATTTTTCCCTTTAAACTGTGGGTTTTCTTCGGAAGTTTTTCCTTGTACGATGTGAGGGTCTAAGGACAGAGGGTGTCGTATTGTCATACTGATATTTTGTACAAACTGTAAAGTCCACTGAGACAAATGTAACATTTGTGATATTGGGCTATATAAATAAACATTGATTGATTGATTGATGTAATGTCTCCTGAAGTGATGTATACATGGTACGTGTGTGTGTGTGTGTGTGTGTGTGTGTGTGTGTGTGTGTGTGTGTGTGTGTGTGTGTGTGTGTGTGTGTGTGTGTGTGTGTGTGTGTGTGTGTGTGTGTGTGTGTGTGTGTGTGGATCTAGAGGCTGCTGAACTGCCCGCCCTGGCCTGCTGTCGACAGCATTCCACGGGCCTCAGCCACCGGACACATCTTGACCAGTCAATAAGCAGGTCAAATAGCCACAGCCGCACAATGTGATGCAGAGGAGTTGTTGTGATTGGTCGGAGACAAAGTGATTCTGATTGGGTGGGATAGGTTAGGGACCATATTCAGGTTCTAAGCTACTAGACCATTGTGCTACCTCCCATGTCACCAGAGATCAGTGAGCCAGTTTGTCATTGTATGTGTGTGAGTGTGTGTGTGTGTGAGTCCCTGTGTGTGTGAGTCCCTGTGTGTGTGAATCTCTGTGTGTGTGAGTCCCTGTGTGTGAGTCCCTGTGTGTGTGAGTCCCTGTGTGTGTGAATCTCTGTGTGTGTGAGTCTCTGTGTGTGTGAGTCTCTGTGTGTGTGAGTCTCTGAGTGTGTAGGTGTATTTGCAGAGGACATAGGAATATTGGGGGTGGGGTGTTTAGGGCACAAGCATAAATGCTCCACTAGGATTTCACAAAAAGAACTATTAAGTCAATCAACACACAGGTATTATAGCTGTTTTACTTGTGGTAGTTGGATATATGCTTTAAAAGCACAAAGTGGTGGTAATATGTGATATCCTGCTGAACAAAGCATATAGCTAAGGTTAGGCTATAAACAAACTACATCACAGTAGTGGTATTTTATATCCTAGAACAAAACAAGAACATCTCTTTAGCTTGTGTTAGTCACAGATGTTCATATAGACTCAAACACAAAAAGAAAGATAATGTCGTAACAGAAGAAAATAAGAATATTCACAGCTGGAAAGTAAAAGCCTCTTTATTCAAATCTACACTGAACAAAAATATAACTGCAACACAGTGGCCTTTTATTGTGGCCAGCCTAAAGCACACCTGTGCAATAATCATGCTGTCTAATCAGCATCTTGATATGCCACACCTGTGAGGTGGGATGGATTATCTCGGCAAAGGAGAAGTGCTCACTATCACAGATTTGTGAACAATATTTGAGAGAAATGGTTATTTCGTGTAAATAGAAAATGTTTTAGATCTTTGAGTTCATCTCATGAAAAATGGGAGCAAAAACAAAAGTGTTGCGTTTATATTTTTGTTCAGTGTATGTTCAACTCACAGAAATGTATCATGTGACAGTCTGCATTGACAATGTACAGATAGTCAGTGCACTGCAGTGTTTCCCCTATATACAAATAGTGGCGGTGCAGCGCCGCTGCTGAAATATGCGTGTGCTGCTAGGGGGCGCCAACCAGGTACCCAAAAAAAAAAAAGTGTATTTTTGCTAAATCTTGAGATATTGTTACTGTATGTACCGATTTTTGGCGCCAGATCTGGTAGCTCTGGGAGGGGAAAAAACATTTTTGACTGTTGGCACTCATCCTAATTTTCCCTTTTAACCCTGGTTACACTTGTGTGCTCAAAGTGCACCAGATTGAAGCATTTACTTTAAAATGTTCAAAAAAAATCTTTCCCGGGGGAACATACCCCCGGACCCCCCTAGAGGATGTGACGTCCACCCCCCAATTAAAACATGTTCATACAATACTGAATACATTTGAAGCCATTTCGACGTATATGATCTATGTCAATACGTATTTGTCTTTTGTAGAGATTTTTCATTTATTCTTTATATATAAAATCTCGCCTAGGGCAACAAATTGTCTAGAACCGGCCCTGGTACTAGGCCTCAAGAGCCTTTCTTGTGCTGGCAGACACATAGAAACAAATTGTCGGGGCGCACTTTGCACATGCACACACTAAAAAATTCCACGCGCTCCACGCTCACATTATGCTGGGCCCACGTGCCTTAGCACCGCTGCTATGACTCCATCCTCGGGGAAACACTGCAAACAATATATTTGTTGCCCTACATTTTTATAGTTAGGGCACCCTTAGATAGGTTAGAAACAGATTCACACAAATATCCTATAGCCAAATATGCATTTGAAATCCTTATAATTGGGTGTTTAGGCCCAACATTTGCATTTTTTTATGTAAAATATAATTTGAATATTCTATCATTACAAAGCGAGAAGCAAGCTTTTTCTTCAGTCGGATTAGTCTGGGGTCAGATTTCAAGCCTGAGTCAACATCATCCGTCACTGATCTATATGACTCTATGGTGACATGTCCTGACATGTTCTTTCTGCAGCTGTCGGGCTGAATCCACAAGCCACATCCAATTACTCTAGCAAGGCCACACATCCTCATTTCCGTCTGCTTTCATCCTCAAATCTCAGAAATGTTGGCACTACTCCGGCTACTTTCACAAATCCACAAAATCCATTTCTTGTCACTTTCTTCATTTCTTTCATCTAAATTCATATCTTTCCTCCACACAATCCTTCCCCACTACTCCAGCACCAAAAACATCTACGCCCTGAATGAAAACAGTGACTGGGTGCTAATAATCAGCCCTTTTCCAGTGTTTACATTGTTGAATAGACTGCTGCAGGGATGACGTGTCTGTGTAGGCTGACCCCAAGTCAGCATCCCATTGTTTCCCTCGACAAAAAGCCAAAAGGATTTTTCCATTGGATTTCTGGTTATTGTAGAAAATAAGCTCTGTGGCAAACAAACGTTTAGGATATTTACATGTTTTGCTTAGTAGATAGTATCCACAAAATAACACATTTTGTATCATTTTGAAGCGTGAATGCAATCACCAGTAGTAAAGAAAACGTATGCTAGGCTATCAACAAAATACAACTCAGTTGCATGACTGACGCCATCACTGCTTAGTTAAAAGGGGACAGGTGTTCAGCGTGAGGACATTTAGATGCTCCACTAGCAACTGCCGTTAGGGACACAGCTTTAGACATTTAAGCGTGTGGAATTTATTTTATGTTGCAGATAATAATAATGTGATATAAAACGTGCAACTTGCATTAACTTCAGACATTATTTTGGGAATCTAACCAAAAACTCATTCAAAAAAACATTGACTTTGAGGGAGTCGTGAGTGCTGAATTGCTAAAATGTTAACTCATTTCCCGGTTTAGGACTCATTCCTGCACTGCTCAAAACACATACAACCTTAGAAATACACAAGTTTACTGCTATATATTATATTGTAGTTCAAAACTTTAAAATCTGTCAGGCTTGCGAATAGACCTTATTTCAGAACTTTTTACCTCTTTCCAACCCAAAAACAAGACACTTACACATGTCCAGGTTCAGGTACCTATTCCTGCTCTATAAGACATCTGTATTCAGTCAAAGTAAACCAGCAACACCGCACTGTCAATGCTAGATTGTAATCTGAGTCAATCAGGTTGGATGGCTGAAAAGGTGTCTCCATAAGTCATTGGAAATGTTCAATGTCAAGGTTATAGCCAGACCCTAAAGAACTGCAAAGTCTATTGTGTAACCAAAATTAAACATGAAACAGAACGTTGTTTTTCTTCTAATCCTGCCAAAGAACTTATCTTATCAAACTTAAAGCTATGCTGACCAATGTTATCGTTTGGGCCTGATTATATACTCGCCACACACTCTGTTCGTATTGAGTATCCTTTGGGATATTTATTTCGCCCCATCTTGTGATTGCTCTAGCAATAGATATCGACTTGTTATTTGACCGACCCATCATCAATTCATTCTGAGAACCATCTATCCCTTTAATGAATATCAGCATTGATTGAAAATGTGTATCTGCCCATTGCCACACAGGTTTATGTTATGGAGGCATCATTCACATGTTACTCACCAGGCAGTCTGTTCATGTTGACCTCCCTGTGCCGACAGGCCGATGCCCATGTACCTGCACGGAAAAAAATCAAACAATTAGTTAGCATGAACTTACATTTAAATATACTGGCAATCATTCCAGAGTATCAATGATTTAGGTGTTTTATCAGGCAACTTAGAATATTCAGATCCCTCCTTTTATGGACGTCAGGCAGAGGTAACTTTGAACATACTGTCTTTGATCTGGCAGAGCGAGAGGCCTCAAAGTGAGAGTTGTAACATCAAACGTGACAACGAGAGATGAAGCTCAGGGGTCAGCGTGACGTCATAAGTCCGTCACACTTGGGTAAGCACTTGGCCTGCATCCTTTTAATGTTAGGAAGCTTAAGAAAGCACAACAAAAAAACGTTTTGCTCAATTGAACGAGTCATCAATGTCGTCAGTTGAATGAGTTTGGCAGAGACTCAGCCTCGCTTTGGCACATGCTTATGTCATCACTCAAATCCCAGCATTAAACTACTTCCTGTGTTAGCCAAACGAGTCATTGGACTTACTCACAAGTTTCAATGACATGTAGGATGTGAAAGGGGGGAAAAGACACTGGTGCCACATGAGTACACCGGAAGAAGTCTTTTAAGGAAGTTGTCAGACAAGTTGAACTAAGAATAGAAGAAACATCATCCAGTATAAAACAAGACGCAGATTTAAGTTAAGGGACCACCAGAGTTATTGCAATCCATTCACCCTCTGATTGGTTAGCTGGCCGGCTCTGTTGTGATTGGTCAACTTCTTAGAGATGTCCCACCCCTTAGTCTATCACATACAATTTTATTTTGGTTTAGTTTGTATATGCAAGTTCTTTACCTGGAAATACATGTTATTGTAGTGGTGTGTTATGACATTACTCATGCAGTTATTCCTGACACACTGCTTATATCTGCACTTTAAGAATGAAAGGAATGTTCATACAGAAATCTTTGTGTATTATTATTGCTCATTATTTTGTGTTGCAACTCAAACATGGTCTGCTTCTGGTCCAGTGAATCTGACTATTCCTTCAAATAATCTGGTGCTGTCTGTTATACAATACAGCTTTATTTATAAAGCACTTTAAAACCTCCAGACCAAAGTGCTGTACAGTCAAATAAACAAACAACACACAAGTAAAGTACAAGTAAAAACAATAGACAATTTCAAAGCAATAAAAGCAACAATCTAAAAGATGTCAATACGCAAAGGAGAAGAGGTGGGTTATAAAGTTATAACTCAAGCTGCAACATTGTTTTGGAAGGCTTTCCTATGTACAGCTAAGGTAGTAGGTACACACAGACACTCCTACACTGTAGTTGTCTTTCACACCACTGTTTGGCTTTGTTATGTTTGCCCTGAGCTGCTCAACTAGAACCGGGGAGTTTTTACAGTTTATTATGCAACCTGAGGCTTGTGTTGGGGAGGATGGACAAGTATTCCAGTTCCAATGGAGATTACAGGTCAAAAGTTGAGTTTTAAAAGCCAGTATTCTGAAAACTTTCCAGAGTTATTGCAGTATCGCTGGTACTGATAATCAACCACAACAATCCGCACTGATGCAAGAAGCCACCTGACTAATAGTGGCTTAATGTCAAATAATTAAATAAATACATTTAGTTGATTCAGTTACTACTAGTATAAGTGTATGACTTCTCCTATTCTGGCTGCTATTTTGGCGCAAACCAAGCCTAGATTGGTTTAATCATTGGGGAAACATTTGGTTAGCACTGAGTGTACTTATGTCAAAAAATCCATTCAAACAATAGCATGAGAAAACTGTGTAACCAGCGGTTACAGAAGAAGCACGATGTTGTACTAGTGCCTGCAGAATAAATGCGTTACCATCTGGCTACAAACCACTAAAAAGTGTAAAGGCTATTCTCTGCTGGATGTTCTTTTTGTAATGTCCCATTTCCGGTTGTGGAAATTGTCACCTTGAGATCATTGTGGAACAGCAAGGATGCTTCATGTGATTTTACAGCTCCATAGAACCTTGACAGTCAGGTTTTTGGAGTGTAAATGTCTACTTCTGTGGATATTACTCTCACTTTTGTGGCAATAAACTATTAACAGACAGCTGATGCAGGTATTGGCAACAACACTGTCACCACTATAGATAGGAGATAGAGGTCAGAAGTGACATTTTTGGAGGCAGTGTTGTATTTGGCAATGAACTTGGAACAGTGATATGAAGATTTCTGTTAGTTATGCAGATTCAAGGTGAGTGAAATGCTGCTGAAGCAATTTCACAAATTCATAAGCCATTACAGTGACCAAGGGATTGTGACCTTTTCAAAACAACCAAAGCAAAGACAACTCACACTCTGATCATGTGATGTTTGACACATTATGGAGGGGAATACAACCACAGAACTAGATATACATCTAACGCTTTACAATAGACATACAAATAAATCATATGTACTCTGGTGCTGAGAATATTCCAGCATATACTTTACTTCCTAGATAACATTTTATAAAGATGTAATGCATAGACAACAAGCATTGGCTATGGATCTATCAATTGTCATATACAGTATTCTAGGTGCGAATGATGCCAACAATGTTGATAGCACGCCACTGTTAGCATCTCAAAATGCAAATTGAGCCTTTTAACACAATAAGAATGCACGTTTAATGTTAAGCATTTTAGCATATGAGGGTTCATACCATCAGCTTGATAATGCAAAAATGTTGCATACATGTATGAGCTTAACATAGGCATTTTACAATTCTAACTTTGAGAGAGCACAAAAAATGAAATGCACCAATATGAGGTCTTCTTTTCTCCAGTACTGTTTTGCATGTTAAAAAATGTAAATGTGGCTATCATTTAGCTTTAACATGTTGGCAAGCTATGACTAGCTTTTATGTCAAACCTAACGTTGCCTTGCAAGAGTTCTATGTTCAAAAGTGTTTGTAGCACATCTTATGCCTACATTTATTAAGGGTTTTGCCTTTGAAGTACCCTGCTATAAATGGCATTATGGGCAAGTATTATTAGGTATACATCCCTCAGCAAACTCTGAATTTCCATACCGATTTTCACATCAATCCTTCCAATAACTCTCAAGACTGACCAACCAACCAAGCTATCCCAAGAGCAACCACGTAGGAAAAAGATACATTAAACTCATGACCAATGATTGCTTGTTGCTAATAGCTATATTTTCTCCAAGATGGCACTTGTGTTCATATCCAGCCAATGCAGAGCAGGAATCCATTGATATGAACATAAAACCTGAGACTTAACAGAGTATGAACAATAAACACTAATAGCAGGATCTAGTGAAGTTTTTATTGTTGTGCCAATTTGTTTTGGCACAGAGAAAATTACAGTCATTAAAGCTTCAATAGTGTTGTATCTGCTTACCCATCTCGACCTTTGCTGACAATCTTGACTTCAAAGTAGTAGATCCCACAGGCAGCAGGGATTGGTTGTGTTGCTCGAACTGATGCTGCGTCCTTGTGGTTCTTACCGTGACCTGCAAGAATACAAATAGTAGGTGTTACATGAAGGATTTGGTAGCTCCATTTCATTGAAAGAGTCTTCTCTTAATTAAATTGAGTTGGCATTGAGCATTGAGAACTAAGCTGACAGTTGACAGTGACATTTTAAAGCCACTTGCAATTTTATTTCACGAACAAAATGGAGATTTAAAACAACATTGGAACAGATTGCTTGCTTTGATTGCTGGTTTTCTGACAAAACTGGTAGAGCAGACAAACACATTCACCAAACTGGTTTGGTTGTTTGCTAAGTTGAATTCCAAAACAACAGAGGGAAAGTCGACAGCTCATAACAATTCTACATTTGTGCACTCAACTGCCTTTGTTGCCTCATGAGCGGTCACAAATCGTCTGCATTTTGTTTACACCAGCTGGTGGGTGTTAAGCATCTTAAATGCCCAGTGTCTAAGAAATGTAACTCCAGCTTTACACAGTCAAACTTATCGAAGTCAAAACATTTGAACAATCAAAAAGGAAAAAGTAAGTTACTGGAATATCAACGTCAAAAAAAGAAGATAAATCATATTGTTTTTTACATGGACAATGTATGTATTTCTAAAATGTTACAACTCTATTATGCAAAATGTGATCAAAATGTAAAACTCATAAATGTCTTTTATGCTATAATCTTAAACTTTCAACATATTTTATGACAAATCAAGATGTTTTCTTTCGTTTCAAATGATTCAGGGTTCTACGTATGTTCAAAAGTTATTGCTAGTGAAAATCTACCAGCCTACCAGAAGCTGACTGACCTCTGCACAAGCCAAAGTAAAGCACTGGTTGGTTTTATTTGTCAACTATGTGACTATATTCTGTTGTGGCTGTGACTTTACTGATCGAGTGTGCTCTCATCGACTTTTTTTCCTTGGTCCCCTGACCTATGTTTCTTGAACAATTTCCTCTTTGTCAAACTTCATCTTCTATGACAACTTTATCAACCCACACATTCACTTCTAACGATATGGCTTACTATAGTGGGAACTAAAAGTGATCAGTCCTTGACAAGAGCTCTGATAGGACTGTCTTTATCTTAATAGATAGAACCGGAGGATGAAACAATTATTTGTCACACATACTAACTGACATACATGCACACAGCTGCAGCACCGGAGTTGGGTGTTACGCGTTACTGTAATAATATTACATTTTTCGGTAACGGAGTAATGTAACGCGTTACTGTTATAAATTCAGTAATCACACTACAGTTAGCCTACTAACATAAATAATTACTAGATTCTCCCTTTGACAGACAAAAGGGATTTCCGCCGCAGGTTTATATTTACGTAACATTTGCAGTGCATAAACATGGCTGAGTCGTCATCATCATCAACAGCGATAACTTTCGAGGGGTGGAGGTATGCCCATTATTTTGAGTTTGTCCGAAGAAAGGATAGGAATGTGACGGTGAGGTGCAAACTGTGTCCAGGCCAGAAGCTTTTATCCACTGCTGTAAACACAACTTCAAACCTTCACAAGCACCTGCAAAGACAACATGCTAACGTGACGCTAATAGCTAAGGACCTCCGAAACCAGAGTGAGGATGGTAGGTTTTCACCGACAGTTAGCTTGTGGTAGCCTATTTTATTAAAGAGCATACAAAGAAAGACTTGTGTTATGTCTTCCTTATTGCAATAGTAATTGTTATATGTGTGCACATGTAGGCCTAAGTTTTAAGTTTTGGCTATAGGCTGTTGCTGAGTAACGCAAAAGTCATGTAAAGTAACAAGTTACTTTATGTAGACAGTAACGAAGTAAAGTAATGTATTACTTTTTTTTTTTTTAAAGTAACAAGTAATATATTCCTTTTTTTGAGTAATGACCCCATCTCTGTACAGCACACACAGTGAAATTTGGTCTCTGCTTTTTACCCATCCTAGTACTAGGAGCAGTGGGCAGCTATTGCACAGCGCCGCGGAGCAATGGGAGTGAGGGGGGAAGGGGGGTGTCCGGTACCTTGCTCAAGGGCACCACGGCAGGGCAGGAGGTGAACTGGGACATCTCCAAGTAGCAGTCCACACTCCATATTTAGGTCTGTTCGGGGACTTGAACCAGCGGCCCTACGGGCTCACAGTCCAAGCCCCTACTGACTGAGCCACTACTGGAGAGTGATGCAAGAATGAGTCCTAAAACCCATAAATTAGATAACATTCTGCCACTTCCTGTTCCCTCGTCTTGAAGTCGCGTTTGTAGTAACATGCCTGAAATCAGGTCTGTGGTAAACACAAGCTTTAGAGATATTCATGTTTTGCTTTATGACTTACAACACTTTGGTAAATACACCACTGTTGAATGTCTAAATCCTCAACATGACTACATAACGCCATCAACATTAGCACACAGACATGCAACCATGATGACATTTGTTTATATCCCAACGTTGGCTAGTTAATTCTGGAAATTACATTTAAGCTTAAAAAAGCATAGACTATGGTGTTAATATGAACACAACTTGCAAGTAAAATAAACGTGTGTTTGCCACAGATCCTATTTTCTGCAAGATCCAATGGAAAAATGCAATTTCTCCAGTCGAGGGAGCCCCTGCGATGCTAACTTCCGGGTTGGCCAGTGATACCTCATCACTGCACCACTCTATAGTCCACACTTTAGTCAAGGTGACTCTTCTACAATTCCATGATAAATAACATGTTTTTGTGCGTAAAGATGAAGACTTTATGTACAATCAGTGGTGAAGATGTAAGCAAAGGGGTCATAGGGCTCATGGTATTGTCTTTGAACCAATTAAATTGAAGCACAACAGTCATTACTGTCTGCTATTCTATAATCAGATGGCTGCTTATGCAATCCCTCGGGTCATGAGAGGAGGATAGAGAGACAGAGAGAGAGACGACCATGTTCAGTTGTGTGTTGTTGTATAACTGCCATCTAGGCTCTACAGTAAACATGTGCATCTCTCTGTTACATGTAATCTGTTCTGATAGTCATTGTGAGCTCTTTGTGTACGAGTGTGTGTGTTTGCAATACTGTATGTGCATGTAAGAAATGCAGATAGGTTGTAACCTTAAACGAAGCAGCTGGCTGTCAGCAGACACCTTGAGGCTGTTGCTCTCTCTCTCTCTGTGTGTGTGTGTGTGTGTGTGTGTGTGTGTGTGTGTGTGTGTGTGTGTGTGTGTGTGTGTGTGTGTGTGTGTGTGTGTGTATATATAGTGATGATTAAAATGAAACCTAGTCAAATGAAACCAAGCTTAGTGTTTTGGTCTATATTTAACTTTTATTTTATGTAACATTTACGCTTGTAGTGATTTTAACGCTCATGAAATCATCATCACACCAGTGCCAACAATATTTAAAGAAGATAAATGTCATGCATTCCTTGCCTCAAGATGTTAAAACAATGATGGGGAATGTTAGGCTAATGCACAAAACTTACATTGTCCATTATTGTCAGCAAATTAAAATGGTTTAAGAAAGAAATAATTACCATAACATTCACTTACTCACGTTCTATAGCTCAAATCTAAATGTATGTTATCACTGCATGTGCGTGTTTGTGTGTGATTGTCCGGTCCAATGGCGGCAGGAACATTGGTGAAGTCTATTTTTAGCTGCTCCTTGTGAAAACGATTCGTTAGTAGGCCAACAGGTCTCTTTACAACTGCATAGATGGGTAGGAGAAATGGCTACTACTTTAAACACCTACTGCCCGCCAAAGGGTAATCCAAATGATGTGTTTATAAAAGCAAAAGGTTTACATCATGTAGGATTTTCCACATTATCTGAAATATTAACATAAGAATGCAACTATTTAGCTGAAGCAAAGGGTCATCTGGTAAAAAGCTCTGGAACAACATGCTGTCACGTGACATTAAACCTCTTGACTGGAGGTTAAGGATCAAAGGTTAATGTGTTGTTCTTACAACATAGCACAGTGTGGCCCTGATGATAACTAGTAATCCCTTCCTAGGTTGAACCCTTGACCCCCACCAGGAGAAAGTGCAGAAAAGTTCTTTCAACTCTATAACAATAAGAAAATCAGGTCATATTTTGGGTCTGGCCAAGCAGTGCAAGGTTACATATTGACTGTTTGTTTGGCCCCTATTATTCAGATTTTCAGATTCATATTTGTATTCTGTGCCTCTACTGTGACATGTTTCCATGCTTAATTGTTAAAAAAGCTCTTTATTTTTCTCATATTTTTCTGATATTAAACTATAATAAGGACTATAATTGGGTGCTGCAGCCAGGGTGTGTGAGAGAGAAACTCCACCTGGAGGGACTGCACAGGGATTTGAGCCTTTGCAGATTATTTCATGCACAAATCCTATAAAGCATAAAAGGGCCTCTTTAAGAAATGTTTTGCCCTAAAAGCAGTAGGGATGCAACGGATGAAATTCCAAAAACCAGACAATTAATCAACATCAAAACAACGGTTTCAGAATCAGAAACGGGTTTATTGCCAGGTAGGTTCACACGTACGAGGAATTTGACTTGATGTCGTGATGCATACATAAAATATAAAACAAAGAATCTCCATATAAAACAACAAATCTTTAAGGACACTGTAATAAAATATAGTTAAATAGCAATAAAATAAAGCAGTAATTTACAGTGAAATAGAATGTAATGAATTAGAGAATATAAACTATGAAATAAGAATATGTGCAGTAAGCAGTATTGAACATTGTGCGCATTAATGTAATGCATATAGAGACTACGTTGTGGCTGAGGTAAAGTGTCAGTGGGGGGGCCGGGCCTTGTTTAAGAGGCCGGTAGCGGAGGGGATGTGTTCTTTGGTGTTAGTTTGGTGTGTAAGAGGCTTTATGGCCCAGACACACCAAACTGACACCAAAGAACACGTCCTGACGGACCCGATTGTTGTGTCGCCTCACGTCTTCTGCGTCTTGGCCAACAGTCGCACTGGAACACACCGCAAAGACTTCAGCAGACGGCCAAGTAGCACGTACGCACTGCGCATGCGCAATAACTCTCCTTACCAGCAGGCGGCGGTAGTGTG